AACATGAAAGTCCTTTGCTGAATGGATAAATAAAATTTTACTTAACCAGTTGATACTTTTATTTAAATATTAACTCAATTATAAAGTCTGGTTGTATACGCTCCTTGATGCTCACCAAGAATTAGGAGAGGAGAGCACCCCAAAGATGACAGGGCAAACAGCCTTCTCAGGGTAGCCTTCCATCGGAGCTGTGATGTGCACCCAGCTGAATGGCTACTGCAAGTTAAAAGAGATCCCACCTGTTTGATTGCTCCTGAGTGGAGAAATGGCTCCCGTCTCTTCTTCAAATGAAGTTTTAGAAACCACCCATAAAGAGTGACCAAAGTGAGGTGGAAAAAAGTATTTCTGAAACTGGAATCAAGTTTCCAATGACACCATGGTTTGGCACAGCTGTTTTGAATCTAGGAGCATATTAATACGCCTTTTCTATGACTCCTCTAAGGCAAACCATTAACATTTCAGCTTATTGCTATTACCCAGTAAGGAGGTGGCAGATTAGATTGGATGATTCTTATACTTTCTTCTTAAACTTTCTTGAGCATCAGTATCACCTAGAGCAGGGGTCCCCGACCCTCAAGCCTCCAATTGGTACTGGTCCATAGTCTGTTAGGAACCGGGCCGCACAGCCGGTGAGTGGTGGGCCACCAAGCAAAACTTTATCTGTATTTGCAGCCACTCCCTAGCACTAACATCACCACCACAGTTCCACCTCAGATCATTGGGCATCAGATTCTCATAGGAACACTGGTCCCTGGTACTAAAAATGTTGGGGACTGCTGACCTAGAGGGCTTGTTAAAAACACAGGTCACTGGGCTCCACCTCAGAGTTTCTGATGCAGTAGGCCAGGATGGGACCGGAGAAAATGCATTTCTAACAAGCTACCAGGTGATGCTACTGCTGTGGTCCCGGAACCACCCTTGATGACTTCTTGTCTGGATCATATGGTCCCTGAGAGGAGGGATGGCATCCCTCTCACTCATCTGGTTAAGCAGGAGGCACTCGATAAATTCCTATGAAATGAGTAGATTAAATATACCTTCTGTGGATCCCTCAGGGATGAGGAGTTGGTGAGTGCTGTGGTGAGTGAGGGTCAGGGAGCGACAGAGTGTCACCCGATTTGCTGCTGCTGCCCCATACTTTCCAGCAGCCATGCCCCAAGGACTCTGCGCAGAGCTGCCTATGGCAAAGCAGCTATCTTTGCACTCTGCATTCTTTTTCTTGAACCCTTTCTAACTTGCAGGTTTTCTTTTACTTCGACTGTTAGCCAACTTTTAACAATTCAGTTCAGGCTTGCATCTTCGTGGGTGGAGTTTAGGCAGAGGACATAATGACACAAATGATTTAATGTGTAACATTTTTCTGGGCTCTGTTATGCAGCTCCAAGTGAAGCCAGTCCTTTTTCTTCACTCTCTAGGGCCAGAGGAAGCTGGGTGGGGACCTGGCACATGGCTTTTGAGAAATGGAATTAGTTAAGTCTCAGTCAAAAGCACCGTGAATGCTGGTGGCCACATCCCATCTAGCACACGTCTTTTGGTTGGAGGCACTGCACCCTCCCCATGCACACAGAGCCTTCTTTCTTCCTTGAGGAAAAGCGACTCTTTCACAGGCTGCCATAGGCAAAGGAAATGGAAAGTTCCAGAGCATCCTGAGCTCTGCTCAGTTCCACCCCGCCTTTGCTTTTCCCAAGCACAGAGAGGTGTGAGGCTTTTTCATGCAGGGTGGTTCCTGTAGGGTGATAGTGAGTTCTGTAGCTGGAGGCTGTGCCCTCAAGAGGAGAAGCCCACAAGCTGACCTCCTGGCCTTAACCATGTCTTAGCCAGAAAACAGCACTGGAGCCCCTCCCAGCCCTCCTGGGATGCAGCCCCAAGCAGAGCACTGTAGCCAGGGCTTTTCTGAGAAGCTGCTGATCTCAACCCTGCTGGTTCCACATTCCTGGATGATGAGGGAGGGATTCCAGTGTTTACTTTGAACAATGTTTTCTTGTGTCTGAACAGACTGGGTGTTAAATTCTTCCAGATTTCTGGCTCTACATTGCAGCTCCAACAGGACAGAAACAGGTTTACCGCAGTTGGCAGGGGAGCAAAAGCAGGGTCCGTCTGGGTACCTTCTGCATCTATAATTTCCACCAGGTGGATGGAAAGATGTTAGCTTGGCTTTGTGGGCTTTGTGCCCAGGAAGGGTTTGTTGTGCTCTCCACTCAGGGCTTGCACTGTGCCTTTCTCCTTTCCCACCCTAGAGGGCAAAAGTTAGCTTTTCTCTTTTGAAATGTGGCAGGGAGTGAAAACCAGATGACTTTTGAAGGTCAGGGCTTGCAGTGTTTTCTCTGTTAGTATAAACCCAGAAGTTGAGCTCATAAGGAATTCATTTGGTGGGATATTGGGAAACTTGAGTGCATTCCGGTTTCTGGGGCCTGTTGTGCCAGGAGGTTTCAGATACGCAGGAAGTCAGAGCTGGATGGGAGATGAGAGAGTGGCAGACCCACCCGAATCCTTATTTCTACCCAAGAGGAAACTGAGGCATTGAGTGTTCTAGTGACATGAGGGTTAGAATGTTGGTCTGTAAAGAGCTGAAACCAACACAGCTGGTTAGATTTCTCAGAACTGTGCAGGCTGGGGATTGTGGTAACCTGTAACTAATTGCTAGTATGTATTGCTGAGGAAGATGACAAATGGCAATACAATCACATGGGACCACGGGAGACATTCTTCTCTTTAAGTGTTGATACATCAATGACTTTAAAGATACAGAGAAATTCAGGAAAATAATAGGATCATTTCAAAGATAAAGGTGCTCTTTACCTCTACCATGCACAATAAACAGTTTCTTCATTCTTGTGTTCTGGGATGATGAGCAATTCAGGGGACACTCATGGGATCCTACAAGGACTTACTCTCCATGGAGTCTTTGGTGAAGCTCCAACCCTGGAAACCTACTCCTAAACCCCTTTTATGGTGCGTGTGTGTGTGTGTGTGTGTCCCTGCATGCATGTGAGCACACATGCACGCTCCTGCATGCATAAGTAGGAAAGGAAGATTGATGCAAGCCTTTTGACTTCGGGGCCTCGGTGGAGCCCAAACAGTATTTATCTAGTAGGGTTGGGTAAAATAGTTCACTGATAGAACTTGTCATTTTGATCTGGCTGCTTTCACAAAGCTATTTTGATTCCATGGACATTTTTGCTTGGTCTTAAGAAGAAATCACTAAAATTTCAACTTTCTACACCTCTCAAGTAATGTGCAAGGCAAGCACCCTAGCACCATCTCTGAAACCTGCTTCACACCGTGTCTTATTCCTCACCCCAATCCTGAGCCTTCTGGACACATCAGTATGTCTGCTGTGTCCAAATGGCCTTGTCAAAACTGACTGTTAGAGATGCTTTCATTTTTATATTTTATAGCCATAAATTCTTTACTTAAATATGATCCCTTCTTCTAGCAGAATTTATATTATTCCCTAGAGATGGGAATGGAATGAAAGGAAGAAATACTCAGTGAAATGGCTCCCACTGCTGGCAGAGTACAAAGCCCTTCTCCGTTCAGTCTCATGGGTGGGAGTTTTCCTCAGAATGTAAGGGCCTTGCATCAGTTATCTCTTTCTGTGTAACAAGTTACCCCAAAACTTAGTTGCTTAAAAAACAAATATTTGTTATCTCATAGTTTCTGTGGGTCAAGAATTTGGGTGTGACTTGACCATGTGCTTCTGTCTCCAGATCTCTGGACAGTCATGTTTTTGGCTGGGTCATTGGGCCCATCAGGGGGACAGTCATGTTTTTGGCTGGGTCATTGGGCCCATGTGAAGGCCTAACTGCAGGAGGATCCCCTTGTAAACTCACTCACATGATTATTGGCAAGATTAAGTTCCTCACACACTGATGAACTAAGGGCCTTAGTTCCTTGTTGGGTGTTGGCTGGAAATCTCCCTCAGTTCCTTGTCACATGGGTTTCTCTATAGGGCAGGTCATAACACAGCAGCCGGCTTCCCTCAGAAAGAGAGAGAGAGAGAGAGAGAGAGAGAGAGAGAGCGAGAGAGCGCGTACACTAGCTCAAGATGGAAGCCAAACATTTTTTGTAACTTAATTTCAGAAGTGATATCTTATCACTTTGCCATATTCTATTTGTTAGAAGTGAGTTGCTAGTTGCAGCTCACACTCAAGGAGAGTGGGGTTTCACGAAGTGTTAATACCAGGAGGTGGAATCACTGGGTGCCACCTTGGAGGTCGCCTACCTCAAGCCTTATGGGCCTAATTGCTGTTGAGTCTGTGCAGCCCGTGGGCCCTGCCAACCCAGCAGTTCTGATAAGTCAGTGGCTGTGATGGGCAGAGGGAAATGAGTTCCATGTTCTCTTTTACTCCTCCTAGGAGGTGAATACCTTTGTTGGCAGAGCATTCTGAAGATTTCTCAGGGGTTTTTGTCACCCTCTCTGTGGTTTTTGTCATTCTCTTGATAAAGTCTATGATATAGCTGCTCACTCTAGAGTTCATCTAGTTCTTACCTTGGATGCCAATGTTATTCAGCATTCTGGTTACCAAAATGAGTCCTCAGTCATAAACCAGAGAATGAAATTTATATACCATTAGTTCAGGATTCTTTGTCTTTACAAAAGTAGACAGTTATAAAGATGTTTATGGTTCATGAAATACTTTTATCTGAATTAATTAGATCAACACAACATATATGAGGCAGGATTTTTCTCATCTTGGATAGGAGGAAACTGAAGTTCAGAAAGATTAAGTAATTTGCTCAAGATTAGACATAAAAAAGTGAAGCTGGATTTCAAAACCAGTTCTCCTGGCTCTAAATTCTGTGCCCCACCCTGCATCCCCTTTAACATTGCTTGCATACCTAAATCTCCAGATTATTCCCAGTAGGAATTTGGCAAGACTTCTTGGCCCAATTTCACTCATTAAGTCATTCTAGACCAGGCTTCAGTGACCTGAGAAGAGAAATAGAACTCAGCTGGGACAAGGGATGTCAAAGCTGGAGGAGACTGCACAGCAGACATGGTTGGTGACTTTGGAGAGTTAAACAAGGTGTGTGTGCATGTGTGTGTGTATGTGTTTATTCATATGAATGTGTGCACATATCTATTCATGCCTGCGTGTGTGGTTCATAGACTCTCATCCCAGGGACTATACAGATGTCCTACTTAGGGCTATGTGTGTATGTGGGTATGAGTGAACACAGATGTCTCGGACCTGTTCAGGATTGGGGATGGTCTCCAGAGGGTCTCTTTTTGGTGAGCGGAGGGAATAAGTGGTAAAAACAGGGCTATTGGCATATGAAAAGTAGGGTGAATGGGGTGGGATGGTGAGATGTGGGATTAGTTGCATTTGTGTTGGGAGAGTGCCCTGGGCCCATCTTTTGACCTCCTGCTGTTGTAGTCTCTTCCCTGATCTTCAACGTATGGACCTATTTTTGGTGAGATGCATTTTGCTGCTAATTTCTCTACTGTGAAAACTAGACCATGTTGTTTTGGCATTGGAGATTTTACAGTGCTATACACTGATGCCGATGATGACAGTCCAACTAACAGGCTCTTACCACATGCCTAGGCCCTGTGCTCAGTGCTTTATATGAATTATCTTATGAGCAAAATCCTCATGGAAATCCATGGGAAGTTCCTATTATGGCCCCTATTTTACAGATGAGAACACTGAGACTTAGAAATTTTAAGTATTTTGTTTCAGGTCACACAGCTAAGAAGTTGGCTTGTACTAAACACATGCTCTTAATTTTATGCTATACTTTACTCCAAACAATTGTTTAGTATGCAGCTTTTCCATATTAGGAACTTTGGCTAGTTCTCTTACCAGCTGCCCTCTTGAGATACTGAACTACGTACATAATAATATAACTGAAACAACAATAACAGCAAAGAGAGAGCTGGTTTTCTGTCATGCTGCACGAGGGTGGATATTAAAGGCCAAGCCTTTACTGGGGAGAGCACGTCTACACAACATGCTCCATAAGGGCCTCGTTCCCAGATTTTACAAGTGTTCTCTGCATCTCTCCATTGTGCCAAGGAGACAAATTATAGCCCTTATTGTTTAATTGGATTTCTGACTCAACAAAAACTCCTTTTGTTAGGACTTCAAAATTTCCTGGCATGTTACCCACACATATTTTTATGTGGTTAGCAGTTATGTTTCATTGTATACTACTTGTGTATATTTGTGCCTAGAAAGATTCATTTGAAATTAGTAACTAAATATCTCTCCTCAGTTTCAAAAAACCTTTCTTTACTTCTGGAAAATTAATAACTGCTATTTTCTCTTTTAACCATAGGCAGCTGTTTTCTATATATTCAACTGTTCGTCTTCCCTAAAACCATCCAGAATAGTTACATTCTGTATTTTTCCAGTTTACCTTCCTCATTCTATGTTTCTCAGAAACCTAGTGAAATGAGCTGCACCAGAGACCTGAAAAAGCTTGCAGACAGAAGTGAGCACCAGAGGAGATCAGGACAAGGTAAGTCTGGCCTTGGGTTTGGACCATAATTAGTCCTCAAAATAGATAACATGTGGGCCAAGAGTTGACTAGAATTTAATTATCTTACTTTTGAGCCTTAAGAAACATAGTTTAGGGAGAGAGACATATACCAAGCAAGTAACACAATGGGATAAACAATCCTAATAGATGAGGCACAGAGGTGTGTTATACAGAAGCCCAGCTAGAGAGCTGGATGGCCTCCCAAAAGCAGTGTCATAGGAGCAGTTCTGGAAGGAGAGATAAAAGGACTAGAGAGCAGAGGACACATGTCTAAGTTTACAATATTTCCAAGGGAAGGAAACAAGTCTGTGAAAAGGAAGTCACATCCACTAACAACAGATGGAAGATATCCTAGGTGCTGCATCTGGTGGTAGTGAGATCTAGCTATGTTTGATGAGATTGGAGGCTACAGAGTACATATTAGACCAGTGGGAATGAAAATGGAAGTTCAGAGGAAAAGTGGAGTATGACCTGAATTGGAATTCAGTACATTTAGGCCCCAGGAACTTTCCATATTAGACAGGTTTCACTTCACCTTTCAATGAAGCCTGAATCCTAGAGTGTTGTGGCTCCAAGTTATTGCACTGTTGGTCTCTGGGTGCTTCACATGTAGTGTCTCATTCAATCTTACCAATAATCCTATAAGGTAGGTATGTCACTCCCATTTTAGAGATGGAGAAATTAAAGGTGAGAGAGATTGAGATTGAGAGAGAGAGAGAGAGAGAGAGAGAGAGAGAGCACTTTGCCCACTTAAAAGCAATGTGATGGTGCTAGGATTTGAACTCAAGTCATTCCAAATTTCTTTATCACATTTATTAGGATAATATTCTACATTTTGCCAGCTGACCTTTTCTAGTAGTGGCTATTGTCAAGTCAGCTAGTCCATGGTTTCCTTTGTGTTTTGTATGTGTGTAGCTGCCTAATGTTTGGATTTCCAATAATCCTTAGAAATCCCAGGGAAAATTGTTGTGGCAACTGCAGTAATATTTGTTTATCTAATAATTGTGATCCAAGTGTCTGAGGACAGAGAAGTGAATGTGAGATCCCTTCTCTTATGGAACTTACCTTCTAGTTAATTAAGAGAAAATAAACAAATGAGTAAATTGTAAGAAATGTCAGTCAGGAATAGTCAGCTATCTTGCAGAGAATTACAATAGGAGGCATGGTAATGACTGACTGGTGGCAGTCATGATAGGCCTCACTGAAGAATTCACATTTAGGCTGAATCATGACTTACAAGAAGGAACAACCTATGTGAAGATAAGGGAAAAGTATATCCCAGGCAGAGGGAGCAGCTGGAGAAGGACCTTAATGTGGAAACAAGCTTGGTGTATTTGACAAGAGGAGAAAGATCAGTGTGGTTGGCGCCACAAGTGTTTGGGAGAGTGGTACCAGATAAGCCTGGAAGGAGAGGCAGGGACTAGATCAAGGAGAACTTTGTAGGCCAAGGTTGGAGTTTACATTGTATCCTAAATGGAATGGGAAGCCTTTGAAGTATCAGCCGTAGAATGATTTAATCTGGTTTATATTTAAAAATTATCATCACCCTGTGTCCTTTGTGGAGAAGAAATTTTAAGGGGAAAGGGTGGAAGCAAGGAGACCACCTAGCAGATATTCAGTAGTCCAATAAGAAGATGTTGATGTCTTGGATAAGGATAGAAGTGTAGAGAAGTTTAATAATAGTAAAGGGGGGCAGTGGTGAGGGAGAATAATGAATTGAATATATGAAGTACAAAAGCAAGAGGACTCGAAGATGACTCCTAGGTTTTTGATTAGACAATATGGTGAATGATGATGCCTCTCTCTGAGATGGAAAAGACTGGAGAGGAACATATTAGGGAGTAAGGTCAAGAGTTCTGTTTGAACCATGAAAAGTTTGACATTTTATTAGATACTATACAAATGTAGATGTACAGATGGCAGTTAGATATATAAGTTTAGATTTCAGGGAAGGGATCAGGTAGAATTAAGATGTGACAAAAAGGTGAGATGTAAAGCCACAGAACTGACTGATGTTACCTTGGGGGCCTTTGTAGATAAAGTAAGAAGGAAGCCTAGAAATCATCAATGGAAACTGAGAAGGGTAGTGAGTGACATGGAAGGAAAATAGGTCCATGTGGTGTCATGGAATCAAATAGGAAAATATTTCAAGAACTTGAGAGTAGTCAACTATGTCCAGGGTCATTGCATCTTGGAAGGCAAGAGGGATGGGGCTGGGGGTGCAATGGAGAGACATTCTTTGATATGAACATGGACATTTCATCCATCATAGTGGGAGGAAAGGCAGCATGCACAGGAGTAGTTGGTAGGAGCGATGGTGGGGAGAGACAAATGTATTTCTGATGGATCCTTGGATATTTCCTCAAGGAAGGCAAGGCAAGGACATGGACAGAAAGTGAGAGGGAGAAGGAGGTGATGAAGAAGTTTGAAATAGTTGTTTGTGTAGTAGGAGAGTAAAAAGACTTGGAAAGGAGGGAGAAGTGGGTGGGCTAATTATGTTGACTGACTTTGAGACAGAGAAGTGAGAGTGTGGAATATTAAAAGGATTCTCAACTTTTTCTGTCTGGCTTATTTCGCTTAGCATGATTATCTCGAGGTCCATCCATGTTGTTGCAAATGGCAGTATTTCATCTCTTCCTATGGCTGACTAATATTCCATTGTATATATGTACTACAGCGTCTTTAGCCAATCATCTATTGTAGGACACTTTGGTTGCTTCCATGTCCTGTCCACTGTAATAATGCTGCTGTGAACATCAGTGTGCAAATATCTTTTTGGATAAGGGTAAAGGGGATCAAATATATGGTAACTGAAGGAAACTGGACTTTGGGTGGTAAACACACAATAGAATATATAAATGTCAAATTATAATGTGCACCTGAAAATTAAATAATTGTATTAACCAATGTTACTGCAATAAACTTAATAAAAAAATAAAAATAAAAGGATTCTGCAGCTAGACAGCCTGAGTGACAAATCCTGGCTTTGTCATGTAATAGTAATGTGATCTTGGATGTGCTATCGAACATCCTTATAGGCTTTAGTTTCCTCGTTTGTAAAATGGGGATAATATAACATCTAATTTGTAAGATTTTTTGAGGATTAAATTAGTCAATATAGGTAAGGTGCTTAGACTATACCCAGGACACAGTGCATGGCACAGAAACTTTAGCTATTATTATTTCAGATGAGACCAATCAGTGCAGTTGTGTTTTTTCTCATCGTGTTTAGTTGCTGAGGTGGCACACCCAGAAGAGTCTAACAGCTGGGTTTTACTAATACTGGGGCTTGGTCATGCAAATATGGTAGAGGGAGGGAGAAAGGTAAGGGGATTAAGGTCACTTGCAAGAGGTTATAATGAGAGACCATGAAATTTAAACAGGATAAAGCAGGAAATGAGGGTATGAAGGGGTGACTGAGAGAGAGAGGTAGAATGAATGAATTGAAATAGAGGAATTGCTAGATTGGGAGCTGTTTGAGTGAGCGTGCTGTAATGATAGCCGAGGTAATAGAGTGGGATGCTCTTGTTGAGGTCATGAATATAGTGTGGTTATTGGTAATGCTAAGAAAAATGGATTGACCACAGGGGTGGGTGGCAGAATTAAGAGGAAGTCAAGATTAATGAAGGTGAGTAGGTCAAGGAAGATTGGGCTAGAGATTTGCATGGATCACTCATGAGATGATGAAGAAACCACTGATGATGGGAGGAGTAAAGGTGCAAATGAAGCTAGTGTGCCAGGAGCTAAAGTGGTCAGTGACTGAGGGGTAGAGGCCAAGGATCAGAAGCTGGCAATAACCGGGTGGATAGCTGGGTTATCTCATCTCAAGGCACGAACTTCAAAGGAGCAGGTAGGAAAATGGTTCAGAATGTCAGAGGAGAGTAAGGGGGACAAGTACCCACCTCCAGGTCCAGAAGCTTGTAGGTCATGAGAGAACAAACAACCCTTCCTGGAGAAATCTGTGGGGTATATGGTATCACGAGGGCCAGAAGGGATGATACTTCCTTTGGTGATGATCTAACAAAGCACTCTTTGCAGAAAGCTTCAGGGGTATATGGGAGTAGGAGTGTCTTCAAATTGCAGCTTTTTATCCTCAGTTTTTCAGATTTTGAACACAATTTTACCTGTTTACTCAAAACTTTGAGTAAATCCCACACCTTTGGATCCCTGACAATTTTCTCAACATAAGGTGGTGAATGCTACTTATATTAGGGTCATTTTGCCTTCTCTCTTGAGTACAGGGGAAGGGCAGATTCTTTTTCTGGGAGAGTTAGGAAAGTTTCTTTTCCTGAATGGCTGAGCTACACTCTGGATTTTGGAGGACATGTAGTGGGGAGTGGAAAGAGAATTCAGGACAATGGTAACAGGGAATGCCAAGAAGTCAGGGCATGAGAGTTTGGCGAGTGTGGTAAATGATGGGCTGCTTAGAGTCACTGAAGTGTCATATGTGTGTTTGTGTGTGTCTTGTGTGTTTCTGTGTATGTGGAGGGGGATAGTCATGATGATAGGAGCTAAGACTGGGAAGCTTTCCGGGGATTAAATTTTGAAGGGTTTTGTACACCATGCTAAGGAATTGCATTTTATCTTGCTGGCAGTAGGGAGTAAATAAGTTTTGAGGAGAAGTATGACATGTTCAAATTTTTCTCAGTTGGTTTCCCCTGCTTAGAATGTCATTCCTGGTGTAGTGCTTGGGACATAATAAACATCCAGCAAATATTTGTCAAATGAATGGATGAATATATTTATAAATGACAATTCTTTCAGCACCTCTGTGGTGAATAAATACGGGGAAAGAGATTAAAGGTTGGAAACCTTTTTGGGGAATGGACCTGGAACTTGGAGTGTAAAAGAGAAGAAAGAATTGAGTTTCTACTTTGAGTGACAGGAAGGTTGTGATGTCATTGACAGAAGCAGGGCATGAAGATGGAGGAGATGTTTGTAAAAGTATGGAGTGATAATACTGAGCTTTGTTTTGAACA